AAAAAAAAAAGAATGATGACTGAAGAAGGAAGGGAAGACGTTCTGCTACTTTACACACACACACACAAAAAAAAAGGGAAGATGAAGAAGAAGAAAATGGGAAGACGTGATACGGTGAAAAGAGTAATATGGGTATTTTGGGTTTCTTTATTGATTTTATGATATATGATAAGGCATCCCACCAATTTTGTGGGATAGTGTAACATCTTCGGATATTGATCCGGGCCTTACTCAATTTTCAGGGCCAAAGAGTCTCCAATCAACTTACTTAATCTTCTTGATACGATAACAAATGGTGTGATATCACTCACAATCACCCCAACCAAACTAACCCTAAAGGTATCAAATAACCTAAAATAGTGAAGTGCATAAATTTAATTTAGTTTTCAAAATTACCTATGTTATAACTAAAAGGAAGCATCTCGATAGGTCCGAAACTTGTGCTGTGCGATGTTGAAGATTTATATTATGTATTTGTGTGTGTCTATACGAATATTCGTTTTCCTGTATATAACCATATCATCCTCCTGATTCAAGTATATTAGAATCTTCCGTGTTTGGTAGAACGATATTTTGTTTTTTTTTTTTCAGTTTTGGCAGATATTATATAACCTAGCCTGTATCCCCTCAGGGTACGAGTTCTATGTACATAAATTACACATAGAAACAATCATCTCTTCGTATTTTACATGGTATTAGAGCATATAAGATTCTCATCACTGCTTGAACTACACAACGCCATCAACTGGGCATGACATTACACCAACTGTTGTGAACCCTAATCAGCATCAACTACTCCATCTGAACACAAGTATTGCTGAAAGCCTGAAACCTTTCAACAATTTTTGCGTTTTTTGCTCGAATTCAACGACTGCTGCCCAGAGTTGTGATTCTGAATTTGTTCTCCAATAATCTTCTGATCATAAACCCATTCTGGGAACCACTATCAAATTAAATGGTTCCAACTATCTCCTTTGGCTTTGAGCAATTCTATTATTTCTAGGATGTAAATTAAATGGATCATATTTTATCTGATGATTATTCAGGTATTCATCTTGGATTCAGGCATATTTTTCTGCTAGATGCGATTGGATATGCTTTAATTGGACCAAAAAATAATGAAAGAAGATCTAATTGTTTCGACTAAATCCAATGAAGCTTATAAACAACGTAGCCAAACATTACCAGTTTGTCAGCTGTTTTCCCTGTGTCTTTCCGTGAATGAACAAAAACCATGACTTGATGTCCTCGCCGTAATGAATCCACTACCTGCGCCAACGAATTTACAACACTAATTTTAAAACTTCTAGCAGAAATCACATAGCAGCGCAGAATTCAAGAAATAAATCTAACCTTATTGTAGCATATGTCATTCATCAAGTCATTACGAGCTAGATAGTTATGTTCGGAAATCCCAATGTACTGCTGCTCGAGAGGTACAGGGCGATAGCTTGAATCAAAGAAGAATAGGCCTGTTTCTGGATTTACCCTCAGAAATTGTGCCACCTAGTTTTCGAATAGTATAAACATCTATAAATGTCAGGAAGCACACACAAACAAATGATCGTCAAAATGAACTTCAACCAAATGGTAATTCCTTCAAACAGTATTTTCAGCAGGCTGAAGAATGCTACCTCCAAGTAGTTGGGCAAAGTAGCAGAAAGGCCAACTATGCGTATCATACTTTGCGTAGATTCGACCTGCATGAAACACACACACACATCCAAAACATGAAAGTGGTATAAAGCAACTGAAAAAGCAATTTAAGGATGAAAACTAACGCAGCTTCTGACAAAATAAAGAGCAAATAAAGGGAATATTTCCGTTCAGTAACTTTGTTGATAACTTGATATATTATAGTCTTCTAACTCTTCTAGAAGCCGGTGTCGATATAATTAGGCTGTGGATGCTCATAAAATTGTGTGCAAATTTTTCCATGGCATGTGATTCCTTCTGAAAATTTTCAAAAGTACACCTAATTCGTCACTTTCTATGGATCTATCACATCAAAATACTATGCTGTTGAAAATATTCACTCATCTATCATCATCACACTATGATATCACTCTTCAATTTTTAAACCAACAATCACATACATTTATTATTACACTGAATGATGTCACCAAATCAACTCAAATTATCAACTTAATATCCAATTCTGCTCCCATAATTTATTCTCATTATTTCAAATATTTTTCACAATATTCTTCCAGAGATAGAACCAATGAACCAAACTAATCATGCTATAAGAATTCAATATTAAAATCCTTTGCCAGATTCCCCAAACCATCCACATAGAAACTCTGAACCAGAGGAAACTAAGATGGATATAATACCCTTTATAACTGAGTTCATTGCATCAAGAGACAATACAAGGATGCAGGGTAAGCAAATTCACGAAGAAAATATTTAAGCAAGCAAACCAACAAGAAAGCTAGGGTTTTCCAGAATGATCGAGTAAATGTCAACTGTCTCCAAAAATAGCCAGTGGATATTTCATTTCATTTAAAAGGTACAAAACTGAACCACTCTGAAGTCTGAAGGATGTGCATCGTGTGTTGAAGATAGTGTAGAAACTAAAACCCATAATGATACAAGAGGGGAAAAGACTAGGATCCATACATGTTAAAGCATTGAATAATGTGAAGAAACCCTAAAAAATTACAAAGGGAAAAGAAGATCAATAGATCATTAACTAATTTGAAAGTAAAAATGTGACTTCTGTACCGCAGTAAGCATAAAACCGTAAGTAAATAGACATGGTAGACAAAATATTATTTATTTGACTTTGTGTTTTATTAACTCTTATAAAGGGAGAAGTCTCTTCCTGAAATGCGAGAATGTCTACGGAACTCACTGAGCTTGTTTTCACTAGCATAATATAACTGAACATACCAGTTAAAGTTTGCATATATTACCAAATTTAAACTAATATACCATGCCATACACACCTGACGAAGAGTGCGAGCAACTAATGCTTCTATTACAGGACCTCGATCATCATTCAATAAATGCACTTCATCAATGATTAGGAGCTTCACTAGCATGGAAAGCGACATATCACTGCTTTTACGAGTAATGACATCCCATTTTTCAGGAGTTGTTACAATCATCTGAACATGGAAATTCAAGTTATCTTAAAGTCCAGAGTACAAATAGGTTTTCCAACAACTATTCAACATTCTTAAGTTGTATCCAACCAAAGAAATGATTGAATAAAAACCAAAGTTACATGTGAAGCAGATAACCTGAGTTTCTTCAAGTTCATTCCTAGAGAGTTGCATATCCCCAGTGAGCTCTCTCACAGTTACATTTAAAGGAGATAACCGATGGCTGAAGGTTGAAGTGACTTCTGCAGCTAAAGCCTAGGAAGGATTGAGCAAATATTAGCAATTCCTAAAAGAATCCGGTTATAAGATGAACTGATTTACCTTCATCGGTGCAACATAAACAATTTTGAATTCTTCTTTGTGCAGATAACCATCTCTGAAATGTTGTCCAATCTGATGAAATCAATTGAACAGAAAATTTTTTAATTACTGTTAATTATGTGAGTATTTAAGTTGAGGAAGCTTGTTACACTTCACCAAATGCATCAAGTACAAACAAGAAAACAAAGGTAGAAGAATTTTTTCATATATGCATAAGGAACCACATGAGATGTCTAGCCTATAGTCTTTATCCCCCTCGTCCTGCAATATATTGTGAAAATATGTGTAATTTTTTAGATGAGATGATAAGAGACTGAATAGTTAATCTAGATATAAATTAAGGAATCTAATTTATGGTACATAAATATTGTATCAATGGGAATTATATTGAGTTGAGGGTGTCACAAGAGTTGTTCAAATTTATTTATGCAGCTAGAGACCAGCAAGTGCCTGTGAGGCCTCTAGATACATCATATTCAGATCTTCTAGATATATCAATGAGTGTATTGCCTCTTTTGAATAATTTATATACTGCTTCAACATCTGATTCAGTTTGTGCAGCATAAACGGTAGCTGCTTACTAGCATCTGCCATTTTTCTCACCCTATTTCCTTCCATCTAACTACATAGAAGTTTAATTGATGAATATGCTATTCATAACAAAGCACACGTATAATGTATATGTACAATGGAAATGAAATGAGGCATTTGTGCACACCTCGTGTAGAATAGAAATCATTGCAATATTTGTTTTCCCCGCCCCAGTTGGCGCACATACCTGCAAGCAGAAAAATATTGCTTTTAAGTAACAAAAGGTTTATTCTCCTGGAACATAAGTAAAAAACTTAAAATATGATATTTGTTCACCAGAATATTTTCATTAGTGTAATAAGTTGTTTGGAATATTCTGCTCTGTATCCGGTTCAAAGACTTGTAACCATGGAAAGCAGCTTGTGCAATGTCATCCAGCTCTTTTATTTCAATCTACCATCAAACAAACAACAAAGTTGGATCTGTAAGTCCAAAATATGAAAATGGAACTTCCAAAGTGTAAAAATATCGATAAAATAAAAAAATAAAACAAAAATAAAAAATGTCGCTGTTTTTCGGATGAAAAAAGTCCTCATTATGATAGACTAGGCTTTTAAGCACGGAACC